CATAGATGGCATCGATGACGAGGGAATGGGTGGCCCCAGCGCTGTTGGGCACGGATTGAGGATGGAGTGAGAAAGGTAAAGGGGCAAGAAAGGACGCACTCTAAATGTTCATTCATCTTCAACCAAAGCTGATGACAAGCATAAAGTTTTTCCGCATCCGTTGCAAGACGCTGGCGGCTACGCTGCGACATCTTGCTGAGTGCTGCGTTGTCGTTGATGAACCGTATGAGCCAGCTGAGCCTATCTTTCCGAGAGGTGAGTTGAGAGGTGAGGTCATGATTAGGGCGGATGATCGCTGGGTCTTTTCGTTTATCCGTGGATGTTACACCAACAATCAGAATCATCGACAAGAAGCACAGTAAGGAAAATCAGCATCTATGAAGTGACTGCGAGAACATACCGCTCTCCAGAACCGCCCTGCTTAACCCCTCAGCGCCTGCCATGAGCGCCTCCTCATCGACCTCGGGAGGGAACGAGAAACGGAGGGGATTGTCAGGATTGCTTCCGTAAAGTATGGCCTGCGTAAGAATTGCTTTGATGATGATCGCGCGGCCAGTTCTGCGTGGCGCAGCTCGATAACAGGAAAACGGTGGAGAAGTAGAAATACAACTTACGCCTCATTGAATGCCTTGACGCTCCCCAGATCCACTCGAGCACGCATAAGCACGCCTGCTGTCAGTATGAGCACTTCCTCGGGCCCAAGTCCTTCCGCATCCTCCTGTTCTTCGGGAAAGTAGTGCACTGGAGATTGAGATGGTGGAAGCACACCGAGTCCGAGAATCTGATCAGTGTGCGGGGCTTTTAAGGTGATGCGATCTTGGTAGGGAGAATCTGCGAAGGGTATAAGACGCTGGATTATGATAGTATGATACGAGAAAGAGGACGTACCCCGCGCACAGAACACAACCACATCCACGAATCTGATCGCTACTACTGCACCTCCACCAAGGAGCGCCAGACGAGGATGAGCAGGTGCCGATGCGGCTGTCTACATGCAGACGTTTCAGCTGCGCGCGTCTGCAGGACCATAAATAGAGTGCTCACTGTAGCATATGGCACCCCCGTAACACTTTCTATCTTCATGCCAACACCCACGCCCTCAATCATGCCTCCACTTCCACCCCCTCCCTCGTACTTCGTCACACCACCCCTGGTACTGAGTCTGACAAGTGCATATATCCTTCTCGGCACTGGGGTGCCCATGCCAAAGCCGCCGTACTGGTCGAGTGCCATCGCAGCTGTCTCCTGCTCGGACCCAGCGTACGAGACGAGGACAACGAGGGTGCCGTCGCTGCAGACGAAGCATCCATCGCGTAGACGAACAAATCAGCTTATAGTATTAATCAACCTGATAAAGACGCACCTCTCCACACCCAAATCAACCCCCTCCAAGTCCTCCACGTGCCCCACTGCCTCTCGTACATCCACCTCTCCTAATAATACCTCCTTATTTAGGCTCCATCTCTGCACGCGGGTCTCGCTGAGCGTCCATAAGTCCTTCTCCGCTACCCCACCCCTTCCTATGTCACTACCACCAACAGAACCAAGCGCCAGAGCAGATACATTCCCCAACGTGGGCTGTGGAGCAGGCGCGGCCCAGAAGAGGCGTGCAAGAGAGAGACCGGGCGCGGGTGGCGGTGCAAAGAGCCGAGCTGAGAGTGTATGCCGCCCGCTTTGAGATGTAAGCGTGAGTCTGAACAATCGTCCATGAGAGGTAGAGGCAATATATATTTGACCCTGCAAATGTGCGTCAAAGGGCAAAACATCTGAGTGTGAAGAAACGTACATCAACCCTAAGCAATCCAGACGCATACTCGCCCTCCCCCAGTTCGAGATTGATGCTCTCGAAGCTCCCGCCACCTGCTAGACCGCTAGCTATGCTGTCCCAGAAACGGATATCACCACGGAGCGAGAGAAGGACGAGACCAGGTTCGGAGCGTGAACGGGAAGGGACAACAGCATGTAGTGGTGCAGCCGGTTGTGCGTAATCATGAGAGGAAGGCGGACACGGGAGGATGTAGCATGTAGTGGGCTTGGTGTGATGCCAGATAAAACAGGTACTCGAGGACGCAGCAAGGGCATACCCCGTGAGGGAATCGATTGCACCGGTCCAGGATTGAGAGTAGAAGTCTGTACAATATCACAGTCGATTTCAAACACCCTGAGTTGAGCAGAATAGACATACCAGTACCCTTTAATTCACGCCTGACCTCGAACGGGAGTGCAGCATGAAAAGCAACACTGATCTCGTCTGTGCGCGCGTACAGCGTCTCCCTCCCTGAACCTGCTACGCGTTCATTGTACATCTGCACGTCGTCGACGTCCATGATGTCTGCTACCGCGGCGATGTCCTCAGTGCGCCTCGAGGGTGTGCCGACCGCGCGTGTGCCAACCATGCGCCGCTGTTTTGGCGGCGTCACCGAGGGACGTGGCGTGCCATACCTATGTGTTTTGCGGGGTGCGGGTGACTCCATCCGTGTACTAGTTTGTCACAAGTCCGAGTCCTCGATGCAAGCAAGACCTTTGGTCCCGATCACTTGTCTGGAGTTGAGACACAAACAAGCATCAACACTCTTCTCATCACACTCCACGACGAGCGAACAATATGCTAGGCATAGAAGACTATGGCAGCGATGTCGAGAGTGACAACGAAGCACCAACCAAATGGCCACTTCCATCACAAGCACCCGCACCAGCACCCGCGCCATCAAGATCGTCTGGCCTCTCACTTCCACCACCCAAATCATCCGCCTCTTCAAGTCTGTCTCTTCCCCCACCCACTAACGCAAAAACGAAACGCCCAAAGAAGATTGAAATATCTCTTCCTTCGCTCCCTTCCCATGATTCCGACACAGACGACCGCCCACCTGCCAAGAAGCCTCGAATCACCTCCAGCAAGGGAGCAGGCGCATCATCCCTCCTAGGCATGCTACCCGCGCCTACTCAGCCTCTCCCCATCAAAGCAAAGAAATATAAGGAACCTGAACGTGTGCTTGGGGGTGGAGGTGGTCCGGGGTTGGTATTCCGTGCACCAGCGAGTGTGCAGGAGGATGGCGAAGAGGAAAAGGAGGCATCCACGTCTTTCCTACCACCTTCACTCAAGAAGGGTAAATCTAACGTCGCGCTTGACCGTGAGGATTATAAGCCCTCGACGCTGCCAAAAGTTTCCTCTGCACCCGCTGTAGATTTCTTTTCCATTAGTATGTTCCCTACTCCTACTTCTCTGCATGTCTCACGCTTGCTCCCTTCATAGGTACTCCATCCTCATCTAGACCACCTACAGTGCTCTCTACATCCATGACAACCAACACCTCCTCCACACCACTAGTCTCCTCTGCCCCCGACGTCGGAACATTCACTCCCCCGCTTCCAACACCTACCGACCTCTACCCTGGATACTATCTCCTCCCCTCTGGCTCTTGGGCTGCTTACGACCCAGCGTACTATGCCACATTTGTCAAAAAGTGGCAAAAGGAGTATGATGCCCATGTACGAGCGCTCGAGAAAGGTGAGGTAGAGAGGGGGGCAGAAGAAGCAGAGGAGGTCAACATGGAGAAAGAGATGGAGAAAGCACGGAAGGAGGTGAAGGAGAGAGAAGACAGGAAGGCGCTAACAGGTGTCAAGACTGGGGAGCAAGAGAAGCCAAGAATGAATGTTCAGGTGCGTATGCTGCTCCTGTGTTCGCATTCCGTTCCTTCGTGTTTCGTGGTATATCAGGATGCTCATGATCCTACTTTTTACAGGGCGCAAAACTAGGCTCAACGGCGCGGTCGCGACACCAACTGACAACGCTCCTCACAGATGCATACCACAATCGTGAAATGTTAGAGGAGAAGATAGCACTAGCGCGGAGGAACAGGAAAGAAGCAGGGAACAAATATGGTGTGTCTCTCATCCATTCAAGCTTCTTCAAAATGCCACCATGAAACTCATAAATGCCCACCCTTCAGGTTTCTAACTTCATGGAGGAACACATTGATCATAATACGGTATACTGCTAAGTAATGCTGAGGTATGTATAATATCTACGAGATGAACTATGCTACAGGTGTTATGGAAGTTCTGTCCGTCTAAATATACCATGCTTATGAGCGAACGTCCGACATAACTTTCTTCACGATGCCCCTCACATCTCACTGCTTAGAACTGGCTGAGAATTCTGCCAAAGTGTTATCATTTGCATGTCACAAGAAAGTGTAAAGAACACGCACTTGTAACGCTCTTTGTTCCCTCACTAATCGCATGTTTCGCGAGCTCTCCAGGGAGAATGAGCCTTACAGCAGTTTGAATCTCACGCGAGGAGATGGTGGATTTCTTGTTGTAAGCTGCAAGTTCTGAATTAAAGGGAGGCACGAAGCGTCCAACTGTCAGTCACAGAAATTCAAGAAAAATGGGAAAGTGGCGCACTGCTTGATTCTGAGGCGATCCTTTCGAACAGGTCGTTCACGAATGAATTCAAAACCCCCATAGCCTTGTTCGATATCCCAGTGTCGGGATGAACCTGCCTAAGCACTGCACGGAAATGAGAATACAAATCATGACCAGCGGGGAAGAACGTGCAGACGTACCCTTATAAATATAGCTGCTGTAGGTCTCCTTCCTGGCCTTCTTGCGTTTCTTCGTTGTCCCTTCCGTATCATCTTTAGAAGTTGTTTTCTTAGCTGCCTTCTGCTTTCCGGTTGTCGATACGGGTGCTTTAGAAGCTTTGGAGGTGCCGGTTATGGTTGAGACAGGCTTTGTCAAGTGGGAAGCGTAAACATGGTGAGTTCAAGTATTATACCATTGAACACACCTTTGAAAATCCCATACTTGCAGACTGGGGAGAGTAGAAGAAGGAAACAGAGTAGAAACGCGTAAATTCTACTACAACGACGCGTCGCGCTTTTTAATGCGTTCGAAGCGAGCGGGGTTTGAAGCTTGCGCTACCGAAAGACCCACAACCAGATCCGGGACACGCTCTACTTAGCTTAAGAAGCGCAGAGGAATGTCATATTTCAGGCGCCCGCCTAGCTCAATCGGATAGAGCGTCAGACTTTTACAACCATCAGTTTGACTGGGCGTGATCTGAAGGCTGCGAGTTCGACCCTCGCGGTGGGCTACTGTTTATTTTTGCTTTTTCTTATTCAAACGAAACTTATCAGCCTATTCGAACTTCGGCACACTTTTTCCAGGCTGATAGCTACAGTCTTATGTTCCCATCGGAAGCGTTTCCTTGCATCAGCGATTGCTTCATTCCTGCTGCCCGGTATCCACCACGTTCATCATGATAGTCAGAATGTATCGATACAGCTCGAATGATGAGCTAGAACATAATAGGCAGCCGCTTCCGGAACGTGTCCCCTCGGCCAGAATTATCGAAAGTAAGTATCATAGTATGTACCTTTGCGAAGGCATTCCCTTTCACGTGAATAACATCGTGACCATGCTCCGACGCGAACGCAGTGTGCAACCACTAGGACGGTCAGCGGTTCTAAAACGAAGACTTATTTGCATTATCATCTTCAGGTGGTGGATCAATGTTAGTTTTCTATAGTCAGATCATCGAAGGAAAGAGCCGTTCCGTCATCAATGTCTTTGCGGCACGGCAGAGCGTGGCATACATAAATAATCTTCGACAGAACGAGGTGACCTCAAGGTGACCTATATTCCTGCCATCAACAATCTCGTGGAACTTCAGAGATAAGGAGTGAACCATTGTGAGTTGAGAATTTGAAAGACGCTGGACAGTCGCACGTGGGTCAGAAGAGAAGAGTTTCTATGCAAGAGTATGCAGCGATACATATCTACAAAAGCAGTAATGATGCGCACACAGCCATGAACAAGAAATCTAGTGCTTGTCTTCCTCCACGCCGTGCACTTCATCTGCAGGTGGCGCGCGATTGACCCACCCTCCAATGATCCATGACCCTGCGAGTAAACCAAGGAGAACCCAAACTCCTTTCGTCTCCGCGTCATTGAGAGGCCTAGACTTTACACGCATATTCGTCCCTTGTTCCTTGACAGCATGAACCGCATTCGAGACCACCTGGCTGACGCGGAAAGTCTGTGGCAGTACAAGGTCATCCGCTAAGTCACGGAAGAAGCCGTGTTGACCCGCGGGTTCGCTGTGTGGCTCAGAGGTACTCTGCTCAATATCCTCCACTTCATGAGGTTTTTCAAGGTTGTAGATTGGTCCGCCATCAGGATGTGTCGCGGTCCCAGAAACAACGTGCAATTTTGGGTGAGACAGCTCTGTGGGTTCGGGTTTCAAACTGGAGGAATCCCTGAAATAGGGAAGGAAGGGCTGAGGGGATAATGATCAGATGTGGCCACAAAAATCGTATCGGCGAAACTCGCATGTGACCATGACTTGATGATCAATGTGGGATAAAACCTTTAGACCCGGAGATCAAAACACCTCATCGATCAAGTCGAGACAAGCACATAAGGAAAGGGAAAGATACTCACTACCTGAACGGGTGCGCCTGGGTAATCCTGAGATAGGTCAGGCAATCTTATCGAAAAGAAGTCTGGCGTCACCGAGGCGCTTGCACGCTGAGATGCAGGTGGTATGCCTGGGGATGTGGCCTGCGGTGCAGTGGCCGATGAAGAAGCCTTGCGTGATGCAGCGGGCGTCTCTAATGTCACAGGTTGCGAAGAAGGCACCGCTCTAGATTCCTCGTATTCCTGGATGCGACTGATGAGGATAGATTTATTCCCTTTGCTGATGTCACAATCAGTTCAGATTCCAATTAGAAAAAAAAATTGAGGAGAACAGAACAATGAACGAAGAAGAGAAATAGAATCCTTGTAGGAACCGAAAGTGGAACTTACGTCGAAAGACCTCGGTTTTTCGCCTCTTGACGCAAAGTGACGGCTGTCTCATGTTCCCATGTTCGGGACAGAAGAACGGTAGAAACAAAATTCCTGTGCTTGGGTATGAAGAAGGCTGATGCACGCGGTAGGCAGTGCCGATGGAATACAGCTCGGAACATGATGGCTGAAGGTTTAGTTTAGCTACCAGCAAGACGAGATATGATGTGGAGTCCGTGACTGTTGTCCGTACTGTTGCCACGTGCCACACATCTGATCTAATTGCACGCGCAGTTAACTTATGAAATGATAATCAACTTTGCTAGTTCGTTGTCGCCCTCGTCGACGCCGGGCTAAGGGTTCCTGCTGTGGATACTGATTATCAGCGAACCACTGTCAAACTGGGCTAAAGAAAGTTCTCGTGAGTTCAGCCAAGTCCCGGGTCCTGGGATTTGAGCGCTTGATGTCATCGTGATCTATCTTTTGCAAGCCATTGGCTCCTGCCTCGTGTTTCCATCGCGTGTTCTAAGACCTACTAACAAATCAAAAATCCTTTTTCAGTACTGCATGACTCTTTCCCTCATACTCTAATCCCCAGTCCTCCATTATTTCAGCCATGCTTCTCTCCCCAGCGTAAGAGAGGCTCACAGTTCTGTTGTAAATCAACCTTCAATGTTTATTCCTTGCAGATCAACCAGTGCCAGCCTCCCCTCTCAATCTTTCTGGGGAAAATTCAAGAAAAAAGGCGACAAGGAGAGCGAGTTCCGCGAGAGGCAAGCTCAAATGGCCCTCGCACGACAACGCCTTCTCACTCTCGCCTACGAAGAGATGGAGACAGTCAGGGTGGTAAGGGCACATCCCCTTTGCCCTACATGATACTTTTAACAAACTCTTTATTCTTTCCGCCACAGCTGCCTAGCAGTTTCCCGGTAAGTGGTGGCGGTCCATTTGTGACTTCGACTGACTGTCCGTCCACAGGAACTCGAGGCAGTGGCCAGAGATTGGACAAAGCCTCCCCCAGATGCCGTCTTCGGCTTGCGTGTCCCCGTCGAATTTGCATCCCTTCACGCCTCTGTAAGTTGGCACCATTGGGTGGAGTGCTATTTCTGACGTCATTGCTAGCGGCTGGTTTCCGGGCCATATATCTATGTGCGTAATCTCTGAACAGTGATATGTGAGGGCTCATGGTAGATATGATTAGTTGACTGGTGAGGACTCATATCAAATTGCGATAATGGGCGTCCAGGGGCTGCGCGTCGAGATTGTAAGCGACGCTCCACCCCCACCTGATGAACCTCCGTAAGCTTGATCCTATGAAAATAAACTAAACTAAGCTAATGATATCATAGGCCACCACCGTAAGTACGCTTTCGAGCTAGTCGTGCACTGCCTGAGATGTCTCCAGTCCGCCGCCGGTTACGGAGATGCCTGCCACATTTAACCTTGAGCTAGTACCCGGACAGCATGTTGCCCTGGAAACAACAGTGACATCTGCTGACGACGTTGACATGGCTTGTATGGAAGACGGGACCGTCGTCGATGGGCAGTTCTGGGGCAAGCTGAACATAGTGCACTCAGGCGACACCCACACCGTCGACTTCACAGGTACACGTATGGTCAACCCAGACATCTCACCCGACTTTCTTGTCGATTCGCGGGTCATCACTAAGCTCACGACCGCCGCTAAACCTGCTTCTGTCAAGTGCCATCTGAGCATCCTTGCACCCGCTCAACAGTATTGCGATGTCATTCTCTCAATCAACCCGTTGTGGAAGCTAGCGCTTACGTGGCCTCCTGCGGAGTCAATCAGCGAGCACAAAGTGAAGTATTTTTTGCGTGTTCACCCTGGTGGTGCACTCGAGCACTTTGAAAGTGAAATGGTCGCCACGTCGTTATATTACGAAGCTACGTAGGTGTCATGCATCTCATCTTCGTATTATTGAACTTCATGGGAACACAGACCTGACCCAGCGATGGTCGATCCTAATGACTTTATTGCACCACGAAACGGTTACGCCATGACATTTCAAGATTTTGTACCCCACCTTATGGGCGTCTTAGACCAGCTGGGCATGTCTATGCACGCACGAACTAACTTCATAAAGTGCGTCATTTTCATTTTTTGGTGTGACATGGCTGACAACATGCACAGCAACAACATATCTGCATTCTCAGCTCACAAAAACATTGCCTACCGCTTTCTCTCACCCTCGAAAATAGCTGCAGCAATTGACATTTCAGTTACTGCCGATCCTTGCATCTTTACGCGCCTATTCCTCATCTTCCGCGGGCTATCGGATGATGATGCAGGAATGTTTGCGGGCGCAGGTGAGAAGGAGGCGAACTCAGTCAACTGGAGGGAGATTGTCGGGTGGAGCGAGAATTCAAAGGACACCACCCAGTTTAGGCTACTCGAAACTTCTGTGCTAGAGGTCACGTAGAAGAGAGCCTTTGAGCCTAGGTGGGCAGCTGGTCTTCCCACCTTCCGATGCGTTACATCTTCCCGAGCGTTGGTTGCCTAACATTGTTACATTTCCTGCTTTGCGACATCCCGTTTTATTGGTTCTGTCTTTGCATTTGATATCTTACAACACTGTCGGGCTTTATCATTGCTGTCCTGCACTTACACTCTTGTCACGTCTGCAGCCGTTATATCTATTCGATATCTGCTTTCTGCGCAACTTATATTTCCCTGGTCTTACTTCATTATCACACTGGCTCTTCAACATGTTTCTTCTAGTGATTTCTCTTCATGACATGTTATGTTGTATTGCAGTTTCTTTTTCGTACTGGAGGCTGGAATACCTTACGATGTAGGTACGAGAGTAGAGTAAGGTCATCTGCTCCGTCAGCAAGAAATATTAATAAGAGGTCAACATCAAACCCCTGCATGTGTGTTGTGGATCATTTGAGACACGAACGTGACACAAAGCGCGTGACTGTGACGTCACGCGACGCGTCCATGTCTCACACTGACCGACTGAGATCATACTTAGTACTTACCTGCACAATGTCCGAATCGTAGTAAGTTCAGCCTAACTTGCCGCACACACTCTCGTGTTAAAGATCAAACTACAGCGAACGCGAGCGTGAAGCTAACATTGCACGCAACCGTGCACTGCTAGAGAAGCTTGATCTAGCGGACGCCGTAAACCAACTCGGCGTTCCGCCCAAACCTAAACCCACTCCCAGAGCGAGAGCAAAGCCAATCCAACCTGCGAAGAAGGTGAAGCGTGAACGCGATATCGTAGAGGCGCCTCGTAGGCAGAGCGCGCGTCTCAAGAAGGAGGTTGTGGATCCAAATGA